CTGCTAAATGCAAAAAACCATAGTTGCCACCAAATTGTTATAATATACCTTTTACAAATATGCATAACCTCTAAAACAGTTTTTCATTTGTCAAATCTTGCCTTGCAAAAAAATTTACCAAATATACTTACTTTAAAGAAACTAATTTTAACTATTTTTTTTTAACATTTTCACTTCCAACAAGGCTGCAAGCAACCACTAATTAGAGTTGGAAGTTAGTGGAAAAAAAAAGATGAAGATTGTAAAGCAAGATAACAATTGTATGGATCAGGAAAGCAAGATGAATGAAGCAAGATGAAATTCCAAAGAACTGATGAGGAAAAAAACTTGAGGAATAAGAGTTTTTGGGGCACTTAGGAACAGTCACAGAAAAAGGATGAGACTTAATTGATACTTTCATGATACATCTTACAACTAACTATAGGATTAAAATTCCTTTGGTAGTTTTCCTTGTGATAGTTCATGATTTGATATCTTTCCTTCCTCTGCTAAAAATGAAATTGTCCTGAAAACTAATGTTGTTTAATTGCAAACATCAATACACAAACAATATTGTGTGACTTTATGTTACTTAAGACTCTAGGTTTTGTTATTTATACTTATGACTTAAAGCTTCTGCTATTTTTATGTCTTGTTATTGTTAAAATATTTTAATAAAAAATATTGTTTATTTTTTTTATTAAAATATTTTAACCAAATTAAATTTATTTATTTTTATTATTAAAGTACAACTTTGGTTGATAATATTTAACATGTTTAAAACTAAATGTTTAGAAAAATAATTTAAAATATTCTTAAAAAAAGTGTAACTTAAAGAGCACAATCAGATTTTCCACACAAGATCTCCACACCACTTTAATAATCATGACTAAAGAATAAACATTAAGAATAATCATGGACAACTCTTTAACTGGGTTACAAAAACTCCACAATCATTGTTTGTTTTTTTTAGGAAAAAATGTAGATGTAAGGTTTAAAACTAAATAAGAAGCTTTTAATTTAGTTATCAAAATTAGAAAATTATTATTTAGTTTTAAACCTCGACCTTAAAAAATTATTATTTAATTTTAAACTTAAACCTTAATTAATAATTTTAAAACTTTCTTATTACATATATCTGCTCAGATAGTTATATCTATTTGTTGCTAAAACAACTTGCTTAAGGTAATACCAAAACCTTTTTTAATCTAATTTAATTTTTTAATAATACTTAATGTTTTAGAACCTATGTTAAAAACAGAATTTAAAGTTACCCCCTAAACATAATAAACATATATTTCTATTAAAACTCTTTTGTTTTATAAAAAAATTAAAATTTACAGATTTGGTTATCATTTCATTTAGATACACAAACATCGAATTAATATAAAAAAAAGGTAAAACCTACAGTAATCAAAAACAAAAAACAACATGCTGGGTCAATATCAAAAATAATAAACACAAGAGCTTTTAACTTCAAAACTATTTTTTTTTTAATTAAAAAAACTGTATTTATTACAAATGCTAAAAGCTGCAGCTATTTTTAAAACAATTTTCAATATGAAGTGGAATTTATGAATATTAACAGTTTTATTTTTCAGATTTATTGAAATTTTGACAAATTTTGATTTTTTTAATTTATGCTGCTTTGTTGATTTTATTTGCCACCCTAACGCCAAGGCGGTAAAAAAAGTCAGAGCTATTTGCACCCAGCAGATATATACTACTGAGAGTGTAGAAAATTTACAAAAACAATAGCAAAAAGGGATTCCATGAAAGCATTTTATAAAATACACAATCTTACAAGGCATAATTTTACATACTTGTCAGGCATCAAGATAACTATTTGGTACCTAACTTCCAATGGAAATATTGCAAGAAAATTCTTGAAGGTAAAGTGAACATTTGTGGGTCGTATATAAACCAGATCTTTATGTTGTAGTAATTTTGATTGATTTTCTTCCACAGTTTAAGGAGTTGTAATCAACAAAATTTATTAGAGAAGGGTAGGGTAATGTGGGTCTAACTGATATTTATCAGTTTTTCTGAAGAATGATTTTACATGGTTTTTGTTTGTATTTTAGTAGTGGTTAAAACAACCCCCTAAATTTTAAGTTAAGTAAATTCTAAAATTTTATTTCTGATTATAAATGGTCTATATATTTAAACAGAGATTTATATAAAAAATCTTGAACTCCAAAAAAAAAAAAAAGTATCAAAAAAAAAAAGGTATTAAAAATAACAAATACATAACAGTGTTTCTGAAAGAGAAATTACTTAATTATTAGATACAATCAGTTTTAAACCTAGAAGATGCATTTTTTTGTGAAATATACAAAATAGCCAGATGGGGTAACATGGACCTATGTGACAATATGTATTAGGCTATAAACAACGAAAAAAACTTTTAAAATGAAAATTGGTATAAATAAGTGTTATGTTTATTTCAACAGATTCATGTTTCTATGGATTCATCTAAATAACCTTAAAGATCTGATGATATTTTATCATTAAAACAACTAGATAACATTGTGTAGCAGTTTTAAAGCATCAAATCTTTTTGTATAAACATTTTTGTTGGATAATAAAAACTTTTGATCAATTCTTTCTTTTACAAAATTTAAGCTTAAACTTTTTATAAGTACTTGAGCTTTCAAATTTGAATATTTTTTTTAAATCTGGAAAATTATAAGATGGTTTATTTTGTAAAAATAGAAAAGAGGCAAGGTCGCTTCAGGGGAAAGGGCTATAGGAAAATTTTGCATCAGACCGTAATGATATAGGGGCCATAGTTCTCAATAAAAGAAAATCTAAACAATGATCAAATTGATATGATTCAAAGAATCACTACATTTAGACAGCGATATATTTTATAATACTAAATAACAAGAGCAAAAATAAGAAACATTAAATAACATTTTTATAAATAACATTTTTATAAATAATATTTTTGATGTTTAAGCATACTAGCCAATCCTTAAAATTTAATGTTTAAGTATACTAGCCAATCCTTAAAAAAGCTTAAAAGCCGCATAGCTGCAATAGTGAAAACATTTAAAATGGTAATTTAATTGTTAATATTTATATTTAGATTCTTTTTAAGTAACTAAAAGAATTTATATTTAAGCAAAAATTTTATATTGATTGCTTGATTAGCTTTTTATTAAATTATTTGAAATAAAAGAATTTAAATTGTTACATTTCACAACTCTATTATCAAACAATAATGGAATTGTGAAATGTAAGGATTCTTAATTAAAATGTAATAATTCCTAATTCCTTTATATTAATAACTTTCATTTACATTTCGAGTACAAATATAATCGTAAATTTATTTTTTGAAGTATTATGACTTGGAGATAATGTAGCAAACAAATAACAATGAAGCATATGTATTTAATGAATGCTGCAAAACAAAAAGCTATTTTTAGCTATTTGTTTGCGGCAAAAAGAAAAATGTTGTTACTGGAATTTGCTTGGCTTAGGTCAAATAAGAATTAAATTCATTACAACATAAATGAGAAAAAACATAATATTATTGGTTAAAAATTAATAGAAAATAAAAAATCCTTAAATATCCTAAATGATAATAAACATGGAGAAGAGCCACAAGAAGGTGAAAATAAACATGCAGTCCTTTATTTTGCTGAAGAAGTTATTGAAAATCCTAGTAACACTAGTAATTGTCAATAATAGTAAAAATGAAATAGATACACAATGTAACGAGATAAGAGAGAATTTAAAATGAACCTTGGTGAAAGCGTAGAGGAAGTTTATAGAAATAATCTTGACAATATACCTAGTTCCAAATGCCTCATTAAAAATAATTCTAACCAAATAAGTATTGGTCCAAGAACTTGGAAAACACTTACATTTTTAGACTGTTATTAAGGAAGGATTTAGTAATTTTAAAGATGTTACCTGATACACCGTTAGAAAAGAGCTTATGGAAAAGAACAGCATGCCAAACTTTATAGAAAGCTCTATCTATTGCACGACAAAACCTATCAGTTATTACCGTTAACAAGTTAGCAGTAGAAAAAGAAGATCGAAATCCATATTGATGATCAGAAAGTAAGCTATTAGATTCAAGATGAGAGATTTAGTGCTTATTAATTAAAGACTCAAAAACCTTGCTTATCATAGGAAAAAGACTAATGGGACAGTAGTTAGGCGAGTCAGATGGTTCTCCAGAGTTTTTGAAAATAGGGATAACAGATGCCGCGTTCCAGCAGGTATCACAAAGGAAATCACAAAAAGAGTTTCAGTCAGCTTTAGGGTAGTTGTAAGAGGTACGATGATGGGGGGATTCTGATGATGAAAAAGAATGAGGAAACAAGTTTTTTACCAAACAAAGTTAACAAAAATATGAAATTTTTCTTCTTCTGTCTCATTTAAAAACAAATTTGCTTTGTGTTGTGATCATAAAATCAAAATTTGTGCTCAATATAGTTGTTGTTTAAATCTTTAGAATATATAACAATTTGAATCCAAGATCAAAAAATAGTGTTACATAGTGTTATTACACTAGAATAATTATGATATTGTTAATTAATTTTGAAACAAATTTTTAATTTGAGGTTCAGCTGACCATTATTTTGATAAAAACTTCAAGAAAAAACTATAATCAGGAAATTTAAAATCCTAAAAAATAAGTTGTCTTATGTAAATATCTAAAAACTAAACCAAAAATTTAAATATGATGTAAATTAATTAGACGCATTGAAATAAATTAAAAGTGTGGATTAGTAAATTGAACTCATTGAAAATAATTATATGAGCAGATAAAGTATAAAACACTTTATAAAATAAATCAGTGCTTTAATTAAAATAATGTGGAAGTGAATAAAAAATATTTAAAATTCAAACTCAACTTTTAAACAGCTCCTAAATTATTTAATATAAACTTTTAAAGTACAGTTTTTAATTGATATAATTTATTGATGTTTTTTGATTACTAAAATTGAGGTCAAAACATTTCTTTGTCACACTGATGCACAGTATCTAATAAAATAAATTACCTGTAATTATGTTGTTATCATTTTCATCTTTATCGCTATAATCATTCAAACTCATTGAGCTATCAAATCTTTGGTCAACACTTCGATCAGAGTCAGTATCACCATCCACAAAATCACCTGAAGCTAAAATAATTAATTATTCATTAATTTTGTTTATTTTATACATGATGACTTACTAACTTATTAAAGTCAACATTTATGTTCTAATGATGCCATCACACTGACTGACAAGTAAAGGTGTAGGGAAGTACCCTCTACATATAAAGGAGATCAACAGTCCCTGACTAAAATTTTAGACATACTATAAGATTCTATTAACAGGTGATACTATAAAGCTATATTTGTTTTATTAGAAACAACATATGCTTTTTTATCACTTTATTACCTACATGTTATCAATGCAAGACTGTACTGTACCCTGCTTTTGAGGATGATGATTCCACACAAAAATGATCTTTTATAAAAATTGAGTTTTGTTTGTTATCACATTTAAGCCACATCTTTTTTCATCAGCTACCACATTTTTCCAGGGTTCATATTTGGGTCAATCCAACAGAGAGTTATTTTGTTCTCCGAAAAAACCTTTAACAGATCAAGCAGTGTAGCAGAAAGCTTTATCTTGCATAAAACAGACCCTGCTTAAAATCATTACGCTGTTTGCAATTTACATACGTGTAAAGCTATTTTACATATGCCAAAAGCAATTTTGGTTAAGTGACTTTTATCATTTTTAAACTTTTAAATTAATCTATAAGTGGTAAGATAAAAAAAGAAATTAATTTTGTAAAAAACCACTTTAATATTTGAATGGCAGTTATGTGAAAAAGTTTGTAACAAAAGTTCGAATGAAAATTATTTTGGATGTAAGCACTACTTACAAATGGAAAAAACTCAGATAAAATTAAAATCAAAGAAAAGTTAATCTTTATTAAGCTAACCTTTTAATCAAAATGTATAGTAACAGAATATGTTTATAATATTTATAATATTTTATTTTTATTTGGTTTTATTGTAATGATTGAACTTTTTGCTTAAAAAACTTAAAGTTTTTTAAGCAAAAAATCAGTTTACATCAAGCTCATAAATATATAATTTAATTGTGATAAAAAATACATGAATTGTTTTTTTATAATTTAATAAAAATATATAATTTGATTGTGATAAAAAATATATAATTGTGATAAAAAAATATATTTAAGTTTACATAAATAAATAAAATTAAAGTTTATGCTTGGGTTTAACTAAACTGTCAATTTTATTTAAAATATTACTAAGTATTGTTTATTATTTAAATTTAAATTTTTATATCAATTATTATTATTATTTTTTTTTAATTTTCTTTCAAACATTCTTTTTTAAACTAAAAATTTTAAACTTAAAATTCTGAACCAATAATTTAGGTTTCCAAGTACCATTTATTAAAAAATGTAAATTGTTTGCCTTTTCAATTACCTTTTATACAAAATATAGTTTAACATATGCTTGGTGCAAATTTTTAATGCGGTCGTGCATTAAAATTTGCACGAAAGGTATGCTAAACTTTTTTTTATAAGGCAAGTGAAAAGGTAAACATTATACATTTTTTAATAAATGGTACTTGGAAACCTAAATTAATCTTTACCTCCACAACAAAATTGCTGATAAAGTAATTAATTTTTAATTAAGTAAATAAATTAATTTAACTTAATTTGTAAATTTTTTTATCTTTTTTAAAATAAAAATTTTATCATACTTATATTTAGTTGCTAAGTCAGAATTAGAAATTTAAAAAATAATAGTTTTAAAAAATTTAACATATTTTAATATATAATATACAAATGTATATATAAATTATGTATGAAGAGAATAATGTAAAAAAAATATACAAATGTCATGTATACAAATGTTAAGAAAAGAAAGAAATTTGTTTACATTACCAATTTAAAAAAGTTATATTTAATTTAGTTAATATTAAAAAAACATTCCATAAAATATTTACATAAAAGAGTTATTATTTCAATTGAACTCTCTCTCTCTATCTATCTATCTATCTATCTATCTATCTATCTATCTATATATATATATATATATATATATATATATATATATATATATATATATATATATATATATATATATATATATATATATATATATATATATATATATATATATATATATATATATATATATATATACATATATATATATATATATATATATATATATATATATATATATATATATATATATATATATATATATATATATATATATATATATATATTGACCATCCTCATAATTAGGTAGATATTGGACAAAACCATCTCAACATTCAATATTATGAGGTAGGCAATTTTTTTATCATTTTTACATTCCTTTATTAAAGGTATTAAACTTACTGTTGGTGGTAAAAAACAGCACTTAGATATTATATCACATTTTGTTTGACAAAATTAAGGTTAGATTATAACAAAATGCATTAATTTAACTGAGGAAACTAATTAACTTATTGTTTTTTTAAAAAACCAAAAAAAATACAAATTAAAAGAGTGGAATATTTTTAAAAACATTCTAAATGTTTTTAAAAACATACGGAATGTTTTTTTTTTTTAAAAACATTCTGAATGTTTTAATGTTTATTTTTTTACTGTATTACATGTGCGAAGTGTTGCTACATCGACTATTTTATAAACTGCTGCTACAAGGGAGTATCGCCACATTACTACCTTATTGCCCGCTCCTACAAGGAAGTGCCGCTACATCGACTAAGGGTTTGGTTGGGGCAGGCAGTCTATTAAATAATTAAAAAAAAAACTTTAAAAAAAAAGGTTTTAAATTTTTTTCATAATTTAAAACAACTTTTTTTAAAATAAATAATAAAACTGACCTGACAATAGATAAATTAAAAATGACCAAACAAGAGTATATACATACATACATACATACATACATACATACATACATACATACATACATACATACATATATATATATATATATATATATATATATATATATATATATATATATATATATATATATATACAGGGCTTGTAATGAATCGAGCGCAATCGCGCTCCGCTCGTGAAACGCGCCCGTAAATGGTATTTTGAAACGTTCCAGGCGCGATAAACAACGCTCGTTCAGCTTATAACGAGCGTATAAAATAACGCTCGTTTAAAGTTCAGGGCAAAACAAATAATAACTTTTTTTTTTATTTTCATAAAATATGAAAAAAAGATTTTTTAGTAAAGATTTTATATTATCGAAGCACTAATATAAAATAAAAAAAGCACTACGTCGTTCTTTTTTGCACTAACCTAATAATGAGCAGTTTGAAGTGGTTAATAGGCACTAATTTCATTGATGGAATGTGCATGTAGAAATTCAATGCAAATACAAAAATGCACAAATAAAATAATAAAAAATTAGTAAATCATTACAAGAAAATTGAAACTACAGAATATTTTTAATCTTGTGAAAACATCAAGTAAGATTTATTTGATTTATTGTTTGTAATATTCCATACATCGTTTATAATAAAAAAAAATAATAATGATTCAGTATTTTTTTAAATTAGTTTTTGTTTATAGTATAAGTTTTTTATTAACTATTATTTATTTTAACTCAAATTTAAAACGATTCTGTTGTTTAGAATGTCCGCAATCAATGACATTCCAAAAGGAAACAAAGTAATGTTGTCAACATTTATTAAATGGAAAGTTCAAGAGGCAATAGGCTTTAGAACTGAAGTTACCAGATATGAGTGACGAATTAGCTGCATTCACTTTCAAAAAATGTAGAAGAGGAAACACCGTTGACAACAGTTGAGGGGAAAATCTGTTATTTAACCTCTAATGAATAGTTTAAAAAAAAAAAGATTTTCAAACCTTCTTGTGTTATTTTTTTAAGATAAAAAAATCGTAATTTAAAAAAGAAATTTTAGAAATAAATTAATTTGAATAAAAAATATCAAGAAATATAAAAACTATTTTTAAATACATATATCAAAACAACGAAACAAAAAAAGGCACTAAATTATAAAAAAGTCACTAAATTATACTTCAATACTAAATCAACAAAAAGTTGCGTTTTTGTTTGATATATTTTTTTTTATAACATAAATAGTTAAAAAAAAATCCCGATCTGACAATATACAAGAGTGTTAATTCATGAGTGTAATACTAATTATAACATTTGTCGACGAAAGAATGATGTAACAAATAAAAAAAGATCTTCTTCAGCAATTTTCATGATCGCGCTCGTCGACGTTATCTTGAGCGCACATAATCTTGCTTGATGAAAACATATTTTAATTTTACGAGCGCGATATAACACGCTTGACGATTTTATTCGTCACAAGCCCTGTATATATATATATATATATATATATATATATATATATATATATATATATATATATATATATATATATATATATATATATATATATATATATATATATATATATATAAAGCCATCTCAGGAAATGCATGCAGTCACACACATATGACCAAGCATATATATATATTTTTTGACAACTTGGGCATGGCTCTTTGCACGTTATAACCTGTAAAAATAAAAATCTTAACAAATGATAAAATAAATGAAATATAACAGAAAAAATAAAAGCATAAAACTAATAAATGTTTTTAATTTAATTTAAGAGTGTTTCACTCTAAAGAATTTAGAAAAAAATCAATTATTTAATCCAAGCTTAATAAGTTCAAAACTAAACTATTTAAAAATTTGAAACTTTGATATTTTATAATGTCTACAAAGCAAATAAAACATTAAAAAATATATAAATCTGTTGCACAGTGGGCCAGAGATTGGCATAAATGCTGAAAATGAGTATTTGTGGAAACTTTTTTTTACAAAATTTTAAAAGTACATACCCCACAATAAAAAAATTTGTTGTTTAAATACTTTCATTTTTGTTTTAGGAGTCCTGAAAAAGTTTTCAAGCTTGTCCATTTAAAAAAAGTTTTTTTAAAAAAAAAAAGAAAAGAGAATACTCATAAAATTGAATTTCACCTAGTTAGCGCAGTTTTTTTAAATTTATTTAAAATTTTATAGTCAATATCAAGGTACATGCTATTTATAGATTACTTAACAATTTACATGCTATTTATAGATTA